TTCTCTAGCTGCCTAGTTAGTTAACCGCGTACCGCGTACCGCCTATTTCTTTTCCCTGATATTACATGGAGCGCGGTTTGCGGCACGGGCTAGTGACAAACTCACATTAGTATGAATTTTTTTAAATATATTAACTTATCTTTATATACACTTTATCGATACTCTTATTTTTTTAACAGATTTACTTAATAATTGCGTTTAAATTAATTAATTCCATTAAAAAGTGCATAGCAACGTATAGTAATGTGAGTTTGTCACTAGCCCGTGCCGCAAACCGCGCTCCATGTAATATCAGGGAAAAGAAATAGGCGGTACGCGGTACGCGGTTAACTAACTAGACAGCTAGAGAACCGAGAACCGCGTACCGCGTACCGCGTTCCATGTAATCGCACCCTCAATCGTAGGATAGGGTGCAGTCGAGTTGCCGCTACAAATGCTTTGAAGCATTTTTTGATTGGCCAGTTAAAAAAATTCTTTTTTCCGATTGGTCAGTCAAGTGCTTTGAAGCATTCGTAGCTGCAACTCGAGCACATCCATAATCATCTGTTGGTATGACTGGCGTTTGTTATTTCAAAACGACTGACGAGAACCAATAGGAGCCGTTGCACGCCATTATTCCAGTTGAATTTAAAGTTTGATTGCGTTCAGCGCCCTGGCCATCAATTTAAAGTAATTTTCAGTTATGCTGCTGTGGAACATCTAAACGGTTATAAACGGTTACGTGTAACGTGTATTCGACGAACGCATTGAATCGTTGCTACGAGATCGTACGAGATGCCGGATTTTAAAGAACAGTATAAAGCTCCGCGTTCAGGATTTGGTGACACGGATCACAGCAGATATCTCCGTACTTGCAACTACAATAAATCTCGCAAGGAGGCCAGAGCACAGACTTTTAACAGAAATCGCAATTTGCGAAATGATTTGACACCAACGAGCCCGCAGCGTGGAAAAATAAACATAAAAGGTAAAGAAGAATTTTTGTTTAAAGTGACTTACACATGACGATCATTAAAAATCACCAAAGCTTTCTCTAATTCTGAAAATTAGACAAAGATGAACAAGTTAATCTTACATTGGTAAAATTTATTCCTTATCCTTTTTTAATCTATATTAGTAGAAATGGGCATCAATTATATTAAAATTAAAAATTAAAGTCTAGAGGAACTAAGCTGGATGTTTGTTCTTTATCTTAAAATTTTTACGTAACAAATATTTTGATTTTTATTTAGGTCATTATTAATGTTAACGAAAAAATTTTGTGCAGCTATAATTATACATATCTAATCAAGTGTTATTAAATTAATATTGTATTTATAACTTATCAGATATGTAAATATAATTTTTTACATCTTGAGTAATTTTTTTATTATTTTGTTATTTAATATTGATAATGAACCTAATAGATATTAAAACATGTGTTTTATTTGGTTATCGTTTAAAATTGTAATGACTAACATCCAGTTTAGCTCCTAATCTTTTATTTGTTATTTGTATTGTTATTTAACCTTTTAGTTTTTTTATTTATATTTTTTTAATATCTATGTCTTATTCTCAATAACAAGATAGTCTTCTTGATCAATAAATACCTATTTTAAGTCTCTCCTCTTAATTGTGATAAAATATATATTTATTTATTTTGTGCAAATGGATCTTGATGAATACATTATTATACATTGATCGTATTTCTTTATATACAGTTGATATATTTTTTTCTAGAACATTTTATGATCTTTATTTTAAAGTATTGAGTATCCATTAATATTATAGAATTCAATTTTAATTAAAATTTTAATTAAAATACTTAAAACTTTAAAATACTCAATACTCAGTACTTTAAAATAAAGATCACAAAATGTTCTAGAAAAAAATTTATTAATTGTATATAAAGAAATATGATCAATGTATAATATTTCATTCACCAAGATCCATTTGCACAAAAAAAATAAATATGTATTTTATCACAATTAAGAGGAGAGACTTAAAACAGATATTTATTGACAATAAAACATAGATATTAAAAATATATAAATAAAAAACTAAAAGATTAAGTAAAAAATTGTAATTAAAATGGAATTCTATAATATTAATGGATTCATAAAATAATCTATTATATTGTATACTTATGACATTAATGTATAAATGAAAAATTTAGCATAAAAATCAATAATTTGATGAATTAAAATGTCTTACAAAATTAAATAATGATTACATTTACATGGCACATCCTTAAGGGAATTCAATAACATCCATAGTTACGAAACTAACTAATCACAACTTTTTTTTCTAAGGAATGGAATGACTGTGATGAGAGACTGTATGTTAGTTTCATGTAATTAAGGCTGTTATTAAACCTTATGAAGAGAATGCCATGTATGTATTGTTTTATTTTTATATGAACTAAATATTATTGTAGTTTTATTTATTTATGGTAATATAAAATATGTCAATAATACTTTTGCCTGTGCTTACGTGCACACGCGTGTATGTGTACATACTATAAAAAATACATACATAAAAAGAAATGTATAATATATAAAGATTATTATATATATATACATATATATATTATAATTTATATATAAATATATATTTATTTTTTAAATACATATATTCAAATTGCTTTTTTCTTAATTTTTATGTATTTATGCTATGAAATTAAGCAATTACAAACAAAAAAATTTCTATTTTAATAGAGGTCGCATCTACCATTACTGATGAACGCATGAAAAAATTAATAAAATGGAGAGAGGAACGCAACAGAAAGAAGAATCTAGAAGCTACAATCAAAAAACCAGTTTTCAAAGTTGGTATTGTTCATCATCCTTTATGTTCTTCGATGATTAAGAGTGGCGTAACAACTGCAGAAACATCAAACAAACCAACAGAAAATTCAAACAATCTGAAGAAACGAATTACAAGAGCTACAGAAAAACGATTACTTGCCAAAGCTGCTCAGCGAACGGTAAAGGATCCAACTTCAGTATCAGGGATAAAAAATTCTTTTAAAACCTCAACTTCTTATACCAAGAAATCATTTGCCCCTGCTAATTATTGTTTTAAATCTCCATCTGGTTTACAGAAGATGCCTCTATTTGGTCTTGTACCAATGAAAGAAACGCCACAAGAGAAATATCCATCATTACATACACAAACTTCTGATATTACAGAGATTTTCAAACCTTCTACACATCCAAAATTATCATTAAATAAACAAAAATCACGGAAATTAAGTGACTCGATTATTCGAGATTCAGACGAATTAAATATGATTGAAACAACAGGAATGTCATTAAAGGAACAGGCAAGGAAGCAAACAGATGCACAAGATTTCTTATACGAAGAAAATTTTTTATTAAACAATACTAATATAAAAACGCCACCAAAAAATTCTCCAACACTGTTTGAGAAAGAGAATTGTAATATGGAAGATCTCATTAGCTTTTCGCCATATCTTACACGAAGTCGTGGCAAGAGAAATTCTAGAAAAGAGGGACAGCAACGATTAGGTATTAGTCGTCCATCTGATGAAATTCCAACCAAAGAAACTGTTATGAAAAATTTAAACATATGCGTGGAAGAGGAGAAACGTACTGCTCAGTATTTCAAGCTTCTTGTGAATAAAGAAACGAATAGACTTACGGAACTTTGTAAGAAATGGTTAAATATAAGAATAACGAAGGATGTTCCAGAGGACGCTATGTATGAAATACAACAAGCGGTGGGACAAACAAATTTATTAATAAATAAAAAATTCGAAAGATTTCGTGGCTTAGTACAAGATTGCGAAACTGGTAGAGGAGAAATGCTGGTTACATGCAGAGATTTGCAAGGATTTTGGGATATGACATATATGGAAGTCAAAGATTGTGATATGCGATTTGAGAAGTTAGAGCAACGTCAAAACAGAGAATGGCAGGAAGAAGAATATACTACAGTTGTCAAGCCTACTGTTAAAAAACGAATGCCTAGTAAAAAACAAACTGTATCATCAAAACCAAGTTCATTACGATCGTTAATCCTGGCTGCCAGAAAAAATAAAATGGAAGCAGGAACATTAAGTAAGGAAATTATTTTGCCGCAAGATACACGTGAAAATACCAATACTAGACATAGCATAAGTAGATCTAAATCCCATGATCTTGACGAGAGAAAATCAACTCTTGTTCAACGCGAAAGCTCTAAAATAAATTTAGTACAGAAAGTACAGTACTCTGACAAAACTAAAAGAATGAAAAGTCCATTTGCAACTATCAAGATAAATCAAATGTGTAAGACATCCGAAATACAATTAGATGACACAATATCGTATATTAATTCTGATCAAACGCCGAGCAAAAGCATATTAAAGAAATCAGAAGAATTAGAAAATAAGGAAGCTCGCATAAAGTCTGCACATAAAGTCAATTTTGATGATCCAGTAATTCTTAATGAAGTCCCTCTTTATAAAGAAATGCAGAATAAATTAAATTTAGCTGCTGCATTAAATAAAATAGACATTTTTGATTTAGATAAAATAAATCCTTTAAAATTGTCACCCATTAATGCTGAAAAAAGATTAGACTTTGAAATTGAAGATTCTGATGAAGATAGAGAGGACAAAATGGCTATTACTGGTGAAATAATTTCTAAAAACATGGAAGATCTTAACTTAGAAAAGAAAGTTCTTAGAAACAGAACTATCCTGACAAATAATACTCCTAAAAGCAGTAGAACTAGTAAAATGGTAAGCCGTGTGTGCGTGCGTGCATGTGTGTGTAATGTTTTTTTCTTTTTCTCGTCTTAGGCCTCTAGCCTATATTATTCTTCTCTCATATTCTTACTAATGTGGTGTTGATTATTCAATTACCATAAGCATGTGGGATTTATAGTTATAGGGGGTCCGCACATACCTTCCGTAATAGTAACCATAAGACATATTGCAAGAATTAGTCAATTATAGTCGAGAATTCTTTTGAACTCTTACCACAATTTACAATTTTTTTATGCTATTTATATATGTATTATATATATATATATTACATATATATTAAATTAAATTAATATCCAATCAAATAAATTTCCAAATAGTGGAAGCCTACCTTAGACGCCGGTATAAGTTATTAAATCGAGATTCTATATAAAGCGATATATGTGTATTTCAGCACTTGCGAGAATTTTGCGAATATCGATAGACATCTGATGGCGAGTCGACGTAGTAATATTCTTCGCAATATTTTTAAGTAATATACATGTTCACTCTCCCCCCTAACTTACCCGCTCTAAGTCCCATACCAAATTGCGCGCCGAACTACAATCGGTCTTAAAACGCAACTGTAATAATTTAAAAATAACGTCCCCTTAATTATTTTTCCCACGCATTGTTAGACCAGCGTACAACACATTAAATTAATATCCGCTCAAATAAATTTCCAAATTAAACTTAATATACTTCTCCCAGATCAAGAAAACACATAGTTGCGTATTTAAAAAATTATCCATTTTGCATACATATATTTTTTAAAGCAACTATGTGTTTTCTTTATATTATTTGATTTATCTTATTATTCTATTCATAAAAGTATTAAGGTACAATAATCAAAAAGTCAACAGTTTACGAGTTATTTAACATTTTATGTCAATATGTATCAAAATAAAGTGTAAAATATCTCGAAAACTATTGGTTTTTTGATATCATGTTTATAATACTTTTTTATGCAGAATAATTAGAGGAATCATATTATGTAAAAAAATTGATATAATTCCATTTATAAAAACGAAGTTGACCTTAAAATTTCCGAAGCGCCTGCCCCTAAACAAAAATTATTATATGATAGCTTCCTTTACATCGTGTAATTTTGGTTACATAAATTTTTCTCTACACTTTATGGATTAGAAGATATTTCAGGTGGTAATAGTTATTGGGACCTGTATATATTAATTAAATAAATATAAATTAATTGAGAAATTAATTTAAAAAAAATTTTTTTAGATGATTCCGAAAAAGACAAATAATAAGGATGAAAATGAGAGCCCTGTGAAATTAAGTAAGAAAAGTTCATTAAAATTATTACCAAGAAACGAAAATGAACATATGACATCAAATAAAAACGATACAATACAGATGGAAAATGTAATATTGACAGACAATACTATTAAGAGAAGATCACTTCGAAATGTTACGTTCGATGGTAAAACTTATATATATTATAGGTACACGGCTTGATATATATGTGTTTAATATAGGTGTACATATAATCGTATTTTGTTATATAGAAAATTGTGTGGTATGTACCGAAAATAAACCAATACTACCTATGACACCATATTCAAAACGTAGCAAAACTCCCGCAAGACAGAATCGGAACAAATCGATCGATATATTTAGTGAAGATCTTATATCATGGAATACGCCTGATAAAAAAGATGGTAAGTTTTGATAATGTATAAAAAAACGCAATACTTATATATACAGTAGCAATATAATATACAGTGACATAGTCTGTAGCCATTATATAAATCTCTATTTGACATTTATATATTGTGCAATATTAATAAATAAAAAGTACCATACTAATGTGCCATACTATTTGAATTTAGTGTTTCTATATTATTTAATATTAAACAGTCAGTTAAAACAAGTTGTACACTCGATATACAGTCAATTTTGTCATACAGTGAAAGCAGCCTAATTCGATCTTTACATACAGTGAAAGTAGTCAATGGGTCTATTTTTTGTTCCTACACTGTCTGAACTAGTACACGCGGTGCAATAAGTTGAAGTGAAACAAATATACGTTTGTTTTATTTTAACGTATTGCACCGTATGCAGATTTTAGACAGTGCAGGAACAAAAAACAGACCCAATATCTCGTTCATATTTCGCACTGTGCTGTACGGGTAAAAAATGGCAAGTAGTTTGCGCTACTCTTGTAAATCTTAGAACTCTATGTATATGTACATACATATATATGTATATATGAATATATATATATAAAAAAAATAATCGAAACTCGTTTGTTTCAGGTCGTCGCAGAATTACTAGATCTCTTTCAAAAAATTTGTAATATTTTCATATATTATAATATTTATTTGTTGGATTTATATAAATTGACTCTACCATGTAATGAAACCGTTTTATATATAATAACATCTAAGATGCAATATATACATGTAATAATTATATTATAGAATATTTTCTTTATTTTGTTTGCATAATGTGAATTTAAGATGTTTAATATAGAATTGGTTGTAATGTTTTCGATTATTGATAATAATTCACAAACGATTGTAAAATTTCATAAACAATAGTTATGGAATAAAGAAAAAAAATGGACTGTAAATAAAAATATATTCTATAAAACTGTGTATACAACTGTACTATAGTAAATTATTTAAAATTAAACCTATGTTGAATGAAATATTGCAAAACGAAGTGAAATATTGACAATAATCAAATTGACAATAATTAAATCACATTTATTTTTAATTGTTAAACTGCGGTCATTATAAAATTTTTTTAAAACAATATCATAATCAAAAACTTATTAATTTATTAATGTTATTATTTCGTAATCGTTCAAGTATTAATAAATTCTATTCTAAAATTTGCGTAAAAGCATGGCTCTCATTGGCTATCGCTCGCTGCTTCACCGCTGCGCCGCTCTGGTTTGTAGGCTCCTTTAAGCCCATGGCACATAGAAAAACGTAAGGCCGTAAACGTAATCAGTAAGCGAAATGACCAATCACAATTGAGAACGTAAGCGGCCGCCGCTTGTGTTCTCGACTGTGATTGGTCAATTTGCTTACTGATTACGTTTACGGCCTTACGTTTTTCTATGTGCCATGGGCTTAAGGAGCCTACTAACCAGAGCGGCGCAGCGGTGAAGCGGCGAGCGATAGCCAATGAGAGCCATGCTTTTACGCAAATTTTAGAATAGAATTTATTAATACTTGAACGATTACGAAATAATAACATTAATAAATTAATAAGTTTTTGATTATGATATTGTTTTAAAAAAGTTCTTTTATGTGCCATGGGCTTAAGCTGCGCACAATGGAAAAACTGATATTAGATATTAAAATATTAATCTATCAGAATCGTATTCGGTGTAACTGGTATCTGATAGATTAATATTTTAATATCTAATATCTGTTCCTTCATTGTGCGCAGACACTTATTCACGGAGTATTTATGCGGAGTCTACAATAGAAGTCGTAGCGGTCGTAGGATCTTAAGTCATAGGAAATTAACCAATCACATTCAAATACGAAAAGAATACTCGATTATGATTGATCAATTTTCTATGACTTAAGACCCTACGACCATTACGACTTCTATTGTAGACCCCGCATTAGGAAGGAGTATCAACTCGTTAGCTTTTTCTTTCTAAAAACGATCCTCAATTTGTTTTCACCGTTATGTAGGATTCAAGCGGGGAGCACAGACTTTTGCATAACGCATAGAGCATGTGCATAAGAAATTTCATTGGTCCATTTTCTTATGCATGAGTCAATGGACCAATCAAATTCTTTATGTATATGGTTTATGCGTTATGCAAAAGTCTGTGCTCCCCGCTTCACACTGTATCCGATGTGCGTCGTACGACGACTCGCAATCAATCAGAAAAATCTAAAGCCCATTCTACATTGGTCGTATTGTAGCATCGTAAGTGTCGTGGGACTTCTAATTGACACATCGGATTGGCTGTTGCAACAAATTTGTGACCTGCGACGTCTACATTGGTCGTATCGTAGGCGTCCCAGGTCACAAATTGGCGATGCAAAGATCTCTCTGCGCGCTCCTAGTGGCGGCCGGTAGAAGCTCCGCTAGTCAGACCTTATACGTGCTATAATGGAAAATAATAAAGTAAAATCAAAAAGAAATACTACATAATGTTTTGTGACACAATACCATAATTATAAACAGAAGGGGATCAGTTTTCATCACTTAAAAAAAAAAAATTATTTTTTATTTATTTTAAAATAATTTTTTTTTTTTTAAGTGATGAAAACTGATCCCCTTCTGTTTATAATTATGGTATTGTGCCACAAAACATTATGTAGTATTTCTTTTTGATTTTACTTTATTATTTTCCATTATAGCACGTATAAAGCGGGGAGCACAGACTTTTGCATAACGCATAAACCATATACATAAAGAATTTGATTGGTCCATTGACTCATGCATAAGAAAATGGACCAATGAAATTTCTTATGCACATGCTCTATGCGTTATGCAAAAGTCTGTGCTCCCCGCTTGAATCCTACATAACGGTGAAAACAAATTGAGGATCGTTTTTAGAAAGAAAAAGCTAACGAGTTGATACTCCTTCCTAATGCGGGGTCTAATCTCCATAACTCGTTTTTCACCAATCAGCGTCCGATGTCAAAGCGCTATTGTCCGTATGAGGATCCGGGCTTAGACAACAGCGCTTTGACACCGGACGCTGATTGGTGAAAAACGGGTTATGGGGGTAAATTTTACCCTCGCCACCGGTTTTTCATCAATCAGCGTTTGGTGTCAAAGCGCTGTTGCCCGTATGAGGATCCGGGCTAAGGGTCTGCGCACAATAGGAGAAATATTAGGAACAGATATTAAATAGAGAGATCTTTGCATCGCCAATTTGTTGCAATAACCAATGAGCGTCAACACAACACTGAGGGTCGGAGTGCTCTTATATTATAGCATATGTCACGTGCACTATAGAAAAAGAGCACTCCGACGCCTCAGATTTGCATTGCCGAACGCAGCTTATACAGCGCTTTTCTGACACCATGTTTTGAGCCCATCTTTTTCATGAATCATGACTGACCTATTGCGTTTGGTCCACAGAGTTGGTCTCCTTTATACTTCATGCTTGCTCGTAGTCTCATACGCCATTTTGGAAAAGGAGGTTTGTCAAGTAGTTAATGTTCCTGAAATTTGTTAAATTTCGGTTTCGTGCGTTTCCTTTCCTCAGGTGAAGTAGTGCATCAAGGATGGGTGAAGATTTTAACGGAGGTGAGCAATTCAACTAGTTGATACGTTTCACTGTCAAACCATTTTCGCGATGTTCCCGCGTTATTAACTAGCCAAATGATCTGCGATACGTACGTAATGGCCGGACGCGAATTAATAAACAGTTTAAATAATTGATTTTCGAGCCACTTCGTTATTTAGATGTTGAAATTCATATTCTTTTATTGTGTTTATATTACAACAAACACAACAGTTTATGCAGTTTGAAATATTTGTATTTAGACAAGTGTTTCTTTGTACCTGTATATAAAAAATGTATTGTTTATTAATTTTATTTAATATGTAAACATTGTGTTTATATTCGATATCGTTTAGGTATAATGATATAGAAATATATAATCATTTGTGGATAAATTACTATTATATAATTTAATCGAGTTAAATTTTTATATATAGATCGTGATAGACAAGATCGGGATAAGGACAGAGATCGGGATAGAGATCGCGATAGGCGACATCGATCACGCAGTCGGGATCGCAGAAAGCGTTCTCGTTCTCGCTCTAAAGATCGCAGAGACAGAAAGAGAAGTAGTTCACCGAAGAAGAGTCGTAGTTCTAGAAGAAGAAAGCCATCTTTGTATTGGGATGTACCACCACCTGGCTTTGAACACATCACTCCTTTGCAGGCAAGATTACTTATGTTATACCTTAGACTCTTTTCAAATTACTTCAGACATATATTTGTAGTACTGATCAAGTTTATAAAATTTGTATCCAGGGCTTATGATTTTTGAGCATCTTACATCTCAATAAATATAACTTTATGCTTTCGACTGGATTCACAAATATATCAACAAGATATTAATAATATATTATTAATAATAAGTATGTTAATCATGTTATTAATCGTATCTTATTAGTAAGATGACAGCCTCATGGACCAAAAATATATTGTTAATGCAATAGCCGCAATCTATTGTTTCAACATTACAGAATCCTACCACAGATATGCTTGTATAAAATTATGTAACTTCCATTTTTTAAGAATGTTCTAACAATAAGTCACTTTTTTTCAGCCTATAGATAAATGCTATTGTGTATCTATATGTACATAATGTTCTATATGTATATGTTGATATATGTTTTATCTATGCAGTATAAGGCTATGCAAGCAGCTGGACAAATACCTGCAAATATTGTAGCAGATACACCACAGGCAGCTGTGCCTGTAGTTGGTAGCACTATAACTCGCCAAGCAAGAAGACTTTACGTAGGGAACATTCCATTTGGTGTCACTGAGGAAGAAATGATGGAGTTTTTCAATCAACAGATGCATCTCTCTGGACTTGCACAAGCCGCTGGAAATCCAGTATTGGCGTGTCAAATTAATTTAGACAAAAATTTCGCATTCTTGGAGGTATAGTTTATCACATACATATCAGATACATATTTATATCACTTTTTATTTGCTATTAAAAATATGGTGTGCACATACACATATACGAATTTTAATTAGTTGTTACTTAAGTAATTTAAGTACTGGTAACATTTTTTATGTTTTCTTTTTTAATATAGTTCCGATCAATAGATGAAACTACACAGGCTATGGCATTCGATGGCATAAATTTCAAAGGACAGAGTCTGAAGATAAGAAGGCCACACGATTATCAACCAATGCCGGGAATGACCGATAATCCAAGCATGAACGTGCCAGGTACGGTTCCTGGTATGTTTTAAACATACATTTTCTTATGTTTGTAATCATTATCAAAGCTTATTGGCTTGACTTCCACCACATCTGACAATAATTTTGTATTTATTTTAATCGTGCGTTATCTCTCTTTCAGATTCTCCACATAAAATCTTCATTGGTGGTTTACCAAATTATTTGAACGAGGAACAGGTATGTCGGCTAATCCGTAAAGTAATTTTATTTATTGCACACCTTTGGATGCAGTTCTTCATTGATGCCTATTCCGATCAGTTGCATTAATCTGTTGAGTTGCATTGCTGTGGCTGGCACAAATTTATTTATCAATTGTGAGAATCGGCTTCAATGATCGACGAAAAATTGCATCGCGATATCATAACGGCGGGATTAGTAGGAAGTGTATATTAATCCCGTTGCGTTATAAGTTACTCAAAGGATTACATTATAATATAGGTATTTAGCTATTTAGCAGTGAGTGCACTCACATAAACACAAACGATCGAGAACCTCCATCTTACTCAAGTTCAACAGAGGTATGTATGCGTTTCCACCAAGATTTCGGCGTTGATTAGGTTCTTCGTTAGATAGAGGTGTGTTTACTCGGATCATGTGACTCCGTGTTCTTTTTGTGTCTATCTTCGGATAATCCGCTTCTCGTTGTACCTGTGGAACTTCCTATCATTCCTTGCATCTCGTCTTTCCAATTTGGCATATCTAGTTCAGGGAGCATTAGTGGCGTTTACAGCATTTAGGTGGGGGCATGCAGTCGCATCAACGGTTCTCTCTCTCTTTTTTTTTTCTCTCTCTCCTCCCTTCTCTACCTCTCCCTCTCGCTCCACCTCCCCCCCTCTCTCTGTCTCTCTCTCTCTCTCTCTCTCTCTCTCTCTCTCTCTTGCAGCCTTTCTAGGCACATCGCGGACCCAGTCCATCACAAGGAGATACGAGTCTCTCAAATCTAGGCAATCTTTTTTTTTTAGGAAAATCAACAGGGGGAAGGGGGTGAGGGGAAAAAATTTGTTTTGATTGTATTCGGAAATAAATCGAGCGAAGAAAATAGATGATCATTCGCGTTTTAATCTGATGCAGAAAAATAAACAAAATAGAGATACACACGTGTGACTTCTTGAAAAAAGCTGGATAAATATGCAGTATAAGAAACTACTCTTCATTGACATATGTTGTCAAGGTCACAGCCCTGAGTGACCTTGAACAAATTTTACCAGTCGCTCGTTATCCGTTAAAGTTATTAATAAAAAAGTTCATCAATAAATCTAACTTTTGGACACGACTGCGCTCTGATGAAACAAATTTCTTGCTTTAACAGCGCAAAATATTTTCTTATATAATTTTTATGTCTTTATAGCAGAGAATTTGTATTTTTTAAAGCGCATAGAATTTCTGTTTTAAAGGAAAAAAATATGGTTTTAAAGCAAAGAATTTGTGTTTATAAAGCAGAAAATATTTTATTATGTGTAATTTAAGATGTATAATGTAAGTAGTAAGAAGATGTATAATGTAAGATTCCATATATAAATGTAAAAATTCAAATAAATTCTCTGCTATAAAGACACAAAAATTATATAAAAAAATATTTGCGCTGTTAAAGCAAGGAATTTATTTCATCGGAGCGCAGTCCTGTCCAAAAGTTAGATTTTATTGATAAACTTTTTTAACTTTTTAATAACTTTTTAACAACTTTTTAACGAATAACAAGTGACGGCTAAAATTTTTTCAAGGCCACCCGGGATCATGACCTTGACAACATATGTTAAGATCAAGATCATTGGAAGGTAGTCTCTTATGTTACATAATTAATAAAAGCTGTTTATGATTTCTATTTTCAATTTAAAATGCTTTTACAGAGTCGTCCACTTTTGTGCAGCAATGATATATATATTGCAAAAAAGATCTTTTTTAGGTCTACAAGAAAAGTATAAGATCAACGTTTTTACATGTAGCAGTTTTTTTTCCTTCTGTTTCTTTTTTTGGGATTACAGGGTCAACACATAATTTTATGTGCATCTGGTAACAGCTCCAAGTTCTCCGGTATATATTCTTTTCAGGAATACCTTTTCCTTTTTGCAGCTATTCTTTTTACAGGCTTTTCAGGCTTTACTGCACGTCTCGTCTTGTGCCTCGTTACGTTTACAGGTTACCGCGAACGAATGATCTTCGAATATATCGATGCATTGAGAATTTAAAAAAAAATAATAATGCAAAGAAAAAACAGAAAACATTTTAATAAAAAAAAAAATGGCAATTTCATTGGATATTAAGAAGTTAAATGTAACGGTATTCTTATAAATGGACTATGTTTAAATTCGTAAGAGAGTGAAAAAAAAAGAATATGAACGTCTCGTTATTATGTAGTAAACTATGGACTGATACCAGTACCCTTTCTCCCCATTTCTTAGCTTAGGGTCGTGCCGATCAAAAGCATTTGCTTACCACTACCACTACTTCTACCACTACTTCTACCACTACTACTACTACCGAACATGACAAAATACCACACTGCCTGGAGAGAGGCTAAGTCCAGTCCCTCGAGGCAAGTACTTATACCATTCTCATGCCTTCGTACATTGGGTTTATGCGACAATTTTGTAGCCCCCTTCCTCGATGTGTTCTCGGTTCTCCTGTGCCGGTGCGTTCTCTGATTCAATAGTTTTACATCAATAAAAGCATGTTGCTTAATCTACTAACTCGTGCCGAGTAATTAGTAGTTAATTATCAAAATCAAGTTCGCAAAAAAAAATTCTTTAACAAGAGCAACATGCTGTTATCTAAAGTTTTGAGTTTTCAGTTTCTGAGCCCTTTCGGAGATGTAAGTAAATTTAATACATATGTTCTAATTTAAAAATATTAAAGACACAGAGGTCGATGTTTGAAATAATGAACGAATGTAAGGAAAGACGTCGAAGCGCAATTAAGTGGAAATTGTTTCGTCGGACGTAAGGACGGTGTGTAAGGAGTTACCACCGAGGAAAAAAGTGATTAAAATACGCAAGCATATCTATGCATTCATGTTCCGTTTTCTTTTTTTTTCATATTTAGACTATGCAACGTTTTTCTCATATTTTTCTGTAGATACTTGATTGAAGAAATCCAATTACATTATTAATCGATGCAATATCTTTTCTCCTTTTTCTTTAAAAAGAGCTCTGTTGTAAAAATATTTTTTTTAAAGCCTTTTATTTTGATGATATGACTTATTATAACAAAGATAATTAGTCTTATTTAATTTTATAAATGCAAAATTTTGATTATACCTAATTACATGTAAAACATATTTTAAATGTCTATGACTTTTACATCTAATAGTCTTTACCTAACTTAAAAATTTTTGCGATTAATTAATATTTATCACAGTTGCATTGTCTACATTTTATAAATTTAAAAAATTTCTTACGTGAATGAGAGGGAATAATATTTTTCATGATAATACAGGTAAAAGAACTATTGATGAGCTTTGGACAACTGAGGGCGTTCAATCTAGTAAAGGATTCCGCGACTGGTCTCTCCAAAGGATACGCGTTCTGTGAATATGTAGACGTTTCGATGACTGACCAGGCAATCGCCGGATTGAATGGAATGCAACTAGGCGACAAGAAATTAATTGTGCAACGCGCCAGCGTTGGTGCTAAAAATCCTATGATAGGCGCGCAAGCTCCAGTACAAATACAAGTGCCTGGTTTGTCAATGGTTGGTACGAGCGGACCTGCGACTGAAGTAAGAGCTAAATCGAATGAAATTCTTCTCGTAAATTATGCAAATTAAAGGGATCCTAAAGTAAAGGTCGAACTTTAACAAAATCGCTAGATGCTGTTTTACAACACATCGACATATCTTTTACATACTACTACATTAATATCTCATGCAGCAATGATGCATGCAGTCGTATTACCTGTCAATTTTCGTATCATAAATTCATCGCGTTAAAATGTCTAAGGACGGGTTGACACTTTGACAGAAAAGCGGAAAGCGCAAAAGCAGTAGCTAATTAGAACTCGCGTTGGTAGCAAATAGTATAGAACTAACAGTCAACTATCAGCGTCGACTATCAGCGCGATTTCTAATTGATTACTGCTTTTCCGCTTTTCCGTCAAGGTGTGAACCCGGTCTAATTCTAAACACTCGACGCTGTTTCTTCACACAAACTATGTGCTTGTGGACTACTATTTCTCAAGTACAGATTGCGTAGCTTTTATATGAAACAAATGTTGTTACAACGTGCAACGATGTGAGCTCTGGAGCGCCATATTGAACTAAAAAATGATAAAAAATTAAATTTTGAAATTTTTTATCGTTTTCAGCATAGATTCTACCTCATAGGCACATATTAATGCATATACTTTAATTCTGTTAAAGGATTTTCGAATCTGTCAATGCCAAAAAAGTATTTACGATACAAAAATTATATGGTTTAGTTGGTAATATAGACGACTTTAGGATCCTCTTAACAATTTTGCAATCAGATTTATAATTGTACAATACTTTTCAGGTGCTTTGTTTGCTCAATATGGTCACACCAGAAGAGCTAATGGAAGAAGAAGAGTATGAGGACATTCTCGAAGACATTAAAGAAGAGTGTAATAAGTATGGAGTTGTTCGATCTGTAGAGATTCCTAGACCCATTGAAGGTGTTGACGTTCCTGGCTGCGGCAAGGTACACTTAATATCGGTATAATGCTTCTACTATAATTTATTTATTATTTACCACTTTTTATTCTGTTACAGGTATTCGTAGAATTTAATAGCGTGATTGATTGTCAAAAGGCGCAACAGACTCTCACGGGTCGAAAGTTTAATAATCGCGTCGTAGTTACATCATATTTTGATCCCGACAAGTATCACCGTAGAGAATTCTAAACTGTAGAATTCTCTTTTCATACTATATATATATATATGTATGTATATAATACATTATATATGTATATGTGTGTGTATATATAATGCATTATATATATATAATGCATTATATATATATAATGCATTGTATACATGGTATATTTGAATAATCTAACCGTATTTCGAGAGAATTATACAATTACCAATGAATAATCGATGATAATGATAATTTTTCGCGTTGAGCGGCAAGCGATTAGAATTTTAAGTATATCGCAACATCAGCAAAAATTCCAATACACAATCCTATGATCACGTTTTTCTGCGCTTCAAGGACACGAATATGAACATATGTAATAATAATAAATACATTTGGTCGTTAATATAAAATGAACAATAGTAAATGATAATTTGATATTACCTGTTAGGAGATTAAGAAAATAAGTAGATTTCCTGTAAAAGCAGGATAGTAGACAGAATAAGACTGCAAGATTAATAAAGTAAGATCACAATTATGTCGTTGTGTTTCTGCAAAAAGTTTTCTTCAAAATTCTACATATAATTTACGATATTCAGTATAGCGATATGTTATTAGAGATTTTTTATGAGAAATTGATTCAACTCTCGAGTTGTAACGCAGGTGTGTAAGAATGATTACTTTCTCCGGTGTCCGCGGCGTTCACCACGAATTTCTGCAATAATGCGTAAAGTCCACCGCCAAGTAATAGCATGCCGATACCTGTTAGAAGTATTATGGCCCAGGCCGGTATAGCCGTACCTCCTAAAAAGGATTTAACAAACATTCAGACTTGCGATTTCGATAACGCGTTACATTCTTCTCATCCCACTTACTGTAATAACGTCTAGTTATTGTTTTTCGACCTCTCAAAATTTTGCGCCTCGCCTCGACTTCCTCCAAGAATATTCCCATTAGAACTGTTCAGTGTTTAGAAAGTGAAAGAAAAATTAATTTATTTATATATGGAATTTACGATTTTTTGCGTGCTATATCGTATAATGTTAAGATTTATTGATAAAAATAATTATAAAAATAATAATTACGACATTATTAGTTTGGAAAAATTATTAAATTCTCATTTAGAATGATCAGTATTAGAGATGATTATTTATCTTAATAAAACTCGGTAATTATTTTTGAGCAATCAGCAACGGTTTTTATTTCATGTAAATAGCATGAAAATGGATCGTTTTTATTTCTACAGTTGATTATAGACGATTTTGTCTACACTTGGCATAATAAAATTAAATGTTACTTACGTAAAGCTATAGATAAGTAACACACAAATTTTTTCGAACACATTTTCTTCCGAAAAAGGTCAATAAATGAAAAATAAAAGAACGGGTCGAATTACACTGTCGCAGTGAACTATATAATGTCTACGCAACGCGCATACTGAATCACACCTTTGATAAGAGATAAGTGAGTGTACAGCTTATCTGTTTTAAGATAGTAAGATATACTTTCATTTGTACAAATATTCCCGTTTCCACAACTGACTATCGTACAAATTTAGAACACTGATTGAGAACTGTCAATCTGTTGCAATCCATTACATTAATTATTGCACAAAACTTTCTTTCAATCTTTATATTAATCAATATTTTTTCTTGAAAAACAAAAACTTTCCAATGATCTGTTATAATCCTTAAGATTTTAAATTGAGACTGTACAAAATAAATGTCAATCAATTATATTCTTTCATGGTACTTGAATTATTGTATATACATCGAAATAAAAATTAGGGATTAAGGATTTTCAAGGATACAATGTTGACATCTGGTTAAGAATAGAATATTTGAAAGTCCGTTTTCATCCTTTTATGATCCTTTTTTATTTTGATCCAAATTAAAAAACTGAATTACATTTATAACAAATCATTACAGAATTATTGCAATTACATTCGAGCGAGCCTCTATATATGCGTGTATGCCTCCAAATTGAATTTTACAGATGTAAGACGACATGTACAATGTGTCGATAAGGAAAATAATATTGAATAAGTTAACATATGTGGAAGCTTATGACAAATAACAATATTGACAATTAATGAAAGACGATGGAGAAGGGGCGAGAAAAATTCAATTTCAAACTACTTTATAGCGTTTTCTCTTGGGATACACTGAGTGTAACCTCGTACTACACTAGCGTGTAAGTGTTGCATCAGTGCTACACTACACTAGATATACATACACCATGGCGTACATTACTTCATGCTATCGTATTTAATTCTGCTGCTGGGACTTCCATTTTAAATGTTACACTGGCTCTACACCGTTCCTTTGAGATCGTGTAGCAAAACTTCGTGCATATATAAATTTGCACTATAGCCACGGAAATGTGTGTTACACTGAATGAGTTCGCCTACCACTAGCCAAGGAAACACACTACACTGTCTGAGTGTTGCACTGGTGGGCAATAGTGTAGCCAAAAGAAAACGCTTTAAATAAAAAGCTAAATAAAAACCCGCCATACATTTCGTGTTAGACTAAAATACATTTTTTTGCTTTACACTTGAGAAGTAGCATGTGATTGTAGTAAATCACACATTCAAGCGACTGCTTGCAAATTTTTCTCCTTTTTTATTTTTTCAAAGTAGAGTGACGTTAAAACTTCAAATGCCGCTCTCCTATGAATATTAATTACTGTAATCTCGATATAAATATAGCTGGCACGAATACAAAGCATTCTAAATTCCATTTCACAATTTGACAATCTCGCAAAATGCGTCTTTTCTCCGTCCCTATAGTATTTACTCATTTACAATCGTAACAAGGATCAAAAACATCTTTTTCTTTGTGTCTTTTCTAATTTATTCGTCAGCACCATAAGCTTCTCGAAGTTCCTTTTTGTGTTTCACTATTAAGCGAAGACATGTAGGAAACGTCGACGGTTTGAAAAATTTTATAATCAACTGAACAATAGCGAGTACATGTTCCTTCTGCGTTTCAAAGATTGTAAAATTTTCTGACGAATATTTGAACATTTCTCCACCGTATTGCACTTCTAAACTGATTCATCTGGAAATTTATTTTCTATTTTTTTATCTTGCTATCTCTTTATATGTTTACCATAGGAAAAAAAATATAATTCTGCAGGAGACAACTCCCTCGCTTAAGATATCCGCATTACGCACAATCACTAAATAAAATAAATAAATACTGTGTATATATATGTATGTGTGCGCGCGCGCCCGCACATACCATCCACGCGCGCACGCACACATCTACGACGCATCTTACAAAAAAACCTATAGAAATGTCCCTCTGACTTTGATAATCTCTGAATATATTGTTTAGACAAAAATAAGGAACATGTATTTTTTTTTATAAGGGACCGATTATACTTTTAAGGAATTTAAAAAGATTATTTAAATTAAAAATTTTTATTTATAAAAAAAAAATAAATTTTTTCTACATTTTTTCTATTTCTTATATGTTTTGATTATATTTGCTTTGAAAAAAGAAAGATTTTTTTTTAAAACATCCCTTAACTCTTGAAGTACAAATTAGTTCGGTCCGTTTTCCAAAAGATAATCGCCTCCAAAGAAGAGTTAATTTTTCGGATGGAATTCGAAAATTGCCTGAGAGATGGGAAAAAGTAGTAGCCAGCGATGGACAATACTTTAATTAATCTGTTCATTCATTTTGTTTTGAAATAAATGCATTTTTGAACACAAAAAACGGACCGAACTAATTTGTACACCTAATAAATAAAAGTGTGATTGTATGGACCCTTATAAGTACGTGTCTCTTACTTTTATTTAGAAAATAACATATTCAAAGATCAAAATCAGAAAGCTACACTTCTATATGTGGATTTCCTTGTTAGTAAACATATTAAGTAATAATAATAATTATTATTATTAACTTATTATATGTATACTCAAATAAAACATTCAGATCACTCCTTCCTCACGATATACGAAAAATAATAGGAATGAAAGGAGAATCTATCTTTGACGAATATACGAAAAATCTCGTCAAAAGAAGATTAACAGAAAGATAATGTATTTCTTTCTAAATCTTTATCCTTTATAAGTTATACTAAGAAAATTCATAATACCGGGCATAGCCATCGTAGACATCTCATCTAAATATGACTTTTTTCCCTAAGTTATACCTTACACACACACACACACACACACAACACTTGCAATTAAAATCACTTCATAGTTTTGATCTTGAGAATATTTATAATACTTGTGGATGGCGTAATAACTTTAAGACATTATACTTCGACAGAAATAATCGACGTATTTACGATTGCGATAGTCATTAATGAAAGTGAAGTTGTAAAAATGCGCTGCGTAAAATTGATGTTTTATCATTACCCTTTAAAATTCTATTATGGTTTTTCATTAATTCATATTATTATTATCTTTAGCTTCCATATTTTTCTCTTTTTTTACAGAAATGTAAATTTCGCTTATATTTTTTCGCACTACATATATATTATATATATGTATATCTTTATTGGTTAGATTGAAATTTAAACTATCTTTTTATTTGTTACAAACTATGCGTAATTTGTTTTAAAAGTATAGAATTAAATACGAGAACAATATTATATAGATATCTTTTTTCTTTTTACGTGATGCCAAATATTAATATGAGAATTACAAAAAATTAAGTAAAAACATAAAAGGCTATTAAGAGTCAACGCTGTTAACAGTGCGCAAAATATATAATCTTAAAATCTAAAACATAGATATAATGTCGAACGTTACAATCCTTAGTTTCGGATCATCATCAGCGACAAATACAATTTAAAATCAATTATTCACACTCACACTTTCACTTGAAGAAGTGATAGTCTTGCCTTAGATTGGGGTTGTATTACATACTGCGGGACAACATCATTGTTTGCAACTTTTTTTAATTTTTAAATTGTATTTGTCGCTGATGATGATTCGAAACTAAGGATCGAAACGTTCGACATTATATCTATGTTTTAGATTTTAAGATTATATATTTTGCGCACTGTTAACAGCGTTGACTCTTAATAGCCTTTTATGTTTTTACTTAATTTTTTGTAATTGTTTTGAAACATATAAAAGTCTGTAATTATATCATTAATTTATTAATATGAATTTAATAGTTTTAAATAGTGTAGGGGAAATGTATGTATGTGCGTATATGTGCATGTGCGCACGTTGCATTTCTTTTAGAATTATAATCGCTTTTTTCGGTGTTGCTATGATTGTTTTTGTAGTTATTCCCTAAAATATTTCTCTAACTGTAGAGCAACAACTCATGAAGTTTTTGTTAGGAATTATCGCGTCGTTATTAAATACCATCAATAGATACATACTGCAAATGTGTTGTGTGTGTGTGTGTGTGTGTGTGTGTGTGTGTGTGTGTGTGTGTGTGTGTGTGTGTGTGTGTGTGTGTGTGTGTGCGCGCGCGCGCGCGCGCGCGTGATTTAAAATTCCGTATGTAATAGAGCGAGCGAGCGAGCGATTGATTGATTGATTGGATGGATGGATGAATGAATGAATGAATGAATGAATGAATGAATGAATGAATGATAGAGCGTGCGTTTATTGTACGTACGTTTGTACGCACGTATGTACACAAGTACGCATATACACGTATATACATACAGATTGTTTCGGAATTTATAAATCAACCTATCACAGCAAAAAAGTTTCCTAAAAAATTAAATATAAAAAAGTTATTTGTGTAATTTTTTTTATTTTAAGTAGTAATTTTTTAAATATTATGATTTAACTATGGCCAATTAGAGACTACGTTTAGATGCTTATAGCGTTTTCTTTTGGCTGCGCTTATCGCCCATCAGTGCAACATTCAGTGTAGGGTGTTTCCTTGGCTAGTGGTAGGCGAACTCGTTCAGTGTAATGTATTTCCGTGGCTACAGTGTAGTGCAAATTTTATGCACGAAGTGGGGTTTTGCTACACGATCTCAAAGGGACGGTGTAGAGTTAATGTGACATTTAAAACTTGAAAATAGAAGTCAACCGGCAGCGAAATTAAACACGATAGCATGAAGTAGTGTACACCATGGTATATGTATATATACTAGTGTAGTGCAACACTTACACGCAACTGGTGTAGTACGAGGTGTATCCCAAGAGAAAACACTATTACTTGTGAGTGTGCTGAAGTGAGTGCTTATCAACATTCACTAATACATACCGCGCGTAATTTATTGACAATCGGCCGCCTGCTTAAAATAAAAGTTTATAAATAACTTTTTATATATATTTAATTTTTCGAAAATTTTCTTGCTGTAGTATTTTGATTCACCGATTTTAGACATCTTGTATACAGGCGCGCGCGCCCACACACACGCACACGCACACGCACACACACACACGCACACGCACACGCACACACACACACACACACACACACACACACACAAATATATATTTATATCTTTTATTACCGAACAGCTATGCAATTTAAACGAGCTAAGCATTTTGACTTATGCTTACTTTTACCTTGTGGCTAGCTAGGGTTTTGGCTCGAAGTATTTTTTTTTGTTTCGCTCGGCGCTGCAGCGAAATTATTCGTTGGGGAAGATAAAATCATTTCCTTGAATTTATTGCCATTTAAAATCAGCTTTTCACTATTTTCTTGCATATTGCTGTTACTATTGCTGTTACTACTACTCTCGTCACATTCTGCTATTTTACTATCAACAGATTTAGACGTTTCTTGGCACTGATTTGTGATATTGTTCATTAACTCTGTATTTTCATTGTCCTGCCATTCATCCGATCTCTGTATTATATTTTTTTTAACAAGCACTGATTTGAACGTTATTAGTGTCTTGCGGAGAGTTATACAGAAACCTCGAGATGCCGGAATGAGTGGGAATTCGGGCAATACTTTTTGGTCTGTAAATAGAGTAAAAGTTTATTATTTTATTCTATATATATATATATATATATATATATATATATATAACTACATACCAATATTTGCAATTTCTTTAAATGTAGTGGGAGTGACTGGAGATAATGGATGCTGATTGTTATGCTGCTCAGATATCTCCATCCACAGTTCCAATCTTTGTAGTAATTTCTCGGCATGTTTTTTGAAATGCGCAATGATTATATCCTTGAATACAGGTGGTGGATGTAACAACAATTTAGTCTGCGCCTGTACCAACTTTAACACCACCATCTCGTTGTACATCCTCGAGTTCTCGCGTCCTTGTTGTGAACCTTTCTGTTTCTCGAAGCCAGCTTCGTTAAAGTATGGTTCATTTACGAGAATCAGACCCTGTATTGAAACTATTACTTGCAACAGAGTGGAAGAGTTTGTCCATACTTCCGTGCCACGACCAGACCATGTACCCAGCAAACTCACGCATACCTTTCCGTCTTCATAGAGATTTGGGTTCAATCGATCGCTGCAGTAGGAGATATAGTGACACAGAGGCGGCGCGGCAGGATAATCTGCAGACAACTGGAAATCAAAAAGGAAGAGACCGTCCTCATAGGGCGTCTTCTCAGGACCATGGAACATCACGGAGTATAGATCTATACGATCCTCAAATCCCTTCACCCAGACACCCGGTGGGAGGGAGTTCTTGAGCAGCTTCAATTCTTTAGAGACGGTACGGAAGAAGTTGGTCAGATCTGTAGGCTGGAACATGGTCAGCTTAAACTTGTGACTATCAGGCGCAGTCTCTTCAATGGAAAAGCCCTCGCCTTCGGTGTAAACCGTCAGTGGAATCTCAACAGAACAGGATGGATCCGACATCGTTTCCAGGCGTTCCTCCTCTTCGCCTTTCTGCTTTTTCCGTGGAGACGAGGAGGTTTTATCTGCATCCGACAATGACATTTTTCCCAAACCAAATCTCTTCGACACTTCAGCGTGTGCTAATACTAGTTGTGCTTTTATCAGATTGCAAAGTTTGACGCATACTTGTGACGTTCCAATGCTCTGAGAAGTTAGTAGACTCGTCGGTACCTTTTTCATTTTGTTCACTTCCATCTTCTCGGGTGTAGTTATATCATTTATTGTAGACGAGCATTCTGGTATGTTGTTGACGTCCTCGCTTATAAGGAATTCTCCGCTGGACTCGCTCGAGCCTGATTCCTTCTTCGAGTTTTCCGCCGAATATAATCCGGAATCCTCGGGATTGGGATTAGGATTGGGATATATAAATAATCGATTAACATTATCTTCGTCGGTTTGTTTTTTGATATTGCTTTCGATATTTGGAATATTGTCATTCTCCGATTCGTTGATAATTGTGGTAACTTGCCTTTCTACGCTAATTGCACATGGATCATCGCCATTATTCGAACTTTTCGAATTATCTTTATCTATGGATTCTTCTGGATATTCAGATTTAGGCGTAAAGAGTCTCGTAACTTGATCTGCCATGCGTTGCGCGACGTTTGCTCTACCACGTTCTCTTACTCGCTCAAGAAGTCCCTGGAAGTGGCATTCGTGGAAGAATGCAGTACCCATTAATTTATCCATATAACGGCAATCTTTATAGACTTCGAGAAGTTTTCTCATCACCTCTGTTGTCTGCAGAGACGGGTTTTGTGTAAAAATCTCTTCCAATCTTGACATTGCAATTCTAGCTTTCTCAATGTGTGCTGCTAATTTTGGTTTTATGTTATCCAATTCTGTCTGCTCAGTGACATCGTTATCTGCGATGAAGCAATCTTCGAGTTCCGTCTCCCACGATGAGTCAGATGAGACATCATCCCATAATTCCCCTTCATCGCTATCATACTCGCCGACTTTATACAGATCCTGTGGCCAACACATGCTAACATGATCGTCAATCCACCATACTTTTACTCGTCCCTCTGGATAATTGTCTAACACTTGACCAGCAGTACATCCAGTATCTTCACCCTCAAAATTTGCTATTCGAATCACTAGGGTACCTGGTCTATATTGAAAGTCTGGATGATCTTTCAAGTCGTAAACGCTCACTTCTCGTTCCTCCAGAAAGATCGGTCTGAGCAAAAAATAGTTAATAACTAATTTTTAATATATAATAAAAATATATATATTTCTATTTTCACAAAATTATTCTTTTATTTTAAAAAATTATATTAATGAATAAGAGAGCTTTAGCCACACGCTAGATATAATAAGCGATATTTATTTAATAGTTATATATATAAATACAAATTAAAAAGTGAAAATAGACGTTTCGGCCCTAAAAGAAGCCATCTTCAGTACAAAAATTAATATAATAATGAAGAAAAACAATAACATTATATGATATATTTTTTGGTTATACATGATGCGATTCTGAGTCGTTATTCCGATTACAATTTTTATAC